GGTATTTTCTCATTTAAGAGAAGGGTCATTCATTGCCCCTCCTTTGAGTATAAAATTTTATTCCTATTGATTCTAATTCTCATTCTTATTTCTGTCTGAATCAAACAGACTATGGAAATAGGCCATTCTGATTCCAATTCCAACCAAAAATCAAACAGACCCTAAGATGTGAGAATCCAGATTTTGAGTCTGAAATAGGTCATTTTGTGCAAATAAACACCCAAGGTCAGGTGTTTGTCCGATCTATCCCTCTAATTAAAGACCTCAAATAGCTGGGTCCATCATTTGAATAATTGCCCCCTTTTCTGGTACAGGTTAATAAATGGTGAAGGAGGTGAATGAGTAATGTACCCATTTCGGTTCCCATGTTGCAAACTTTGCAATAGCTCTATCTATCACCTTGTTCGTCTCTTTGGCTGGCTATCAAATTGAACTTGACTACTTAAGGCCTAGTGTGTTAATTAGCAATGCAAACAATGCAATTTCATTTGTATTGGTGCAAAAGTCTGGTAATGCAAATGAGTTGAATGCAAAACTAAAGTTTACACTATTCTAATTTTTACATATATTGTTTAAAAGCTAGCAGTGTTGTAATTGTGTTTCCCACTCAGGCTTCACATGTGAATTAGCGATTTTATTGGGCCTCTGAGTCTGATCCTCCTTGTATTGAATCTCTAATCTCTTTGAATAATTGTTTTGAACACTGAATCCCACCAATTGGATGAATGAAATTGATTTTGCGTGCATCATCACCAACATTAATTCAAATTCAATTATTCTCGCATCGGATGCTATTACACCACCGCTATTTAGATTCAGAACTTTTTTTTTTCTTTAAATTAAACAGAGAAAGAAAAAAAAGAAAAGAAATGAAATGATGTTCTTCGGTGGTATCCGATTATCCGGAATCCCGGGTTGTTCATCATAAGATTCAAAAGCCCTTCAAAAGAAGCTAGCTAGCACTCGATGGAAATAGAAGCTTTTCTGTATGATAAAAGTGTTTGGCAGTTCTTTTTCAGGTAAGAGTAGCTTTTGTACTTAAAATACATGGTTAATGGTATTAGAGCTACGAGGATTAATTTGAAAGTCATTTCACGTATTCACAAGGATCTTAATGTCTTTTATCACCTTCTGCAAAGCAAGCCAAGGGCCAGACCCAGAAGAACCAATCTGATCATCAGCAGGCACATACTTTTGAATTGAGAGGAGATTTCAGCTTCTAACAAGCTGTTTCTGTGTTCAATAGTAAACACTATTAATTAATGTCTGGAAGCCTGGAATGTCTTCCAAACAGAAAAAAAAAAAATCTTTTAAAGGGAGGGAGATGTGCTATCTGTAGGTGGTACGATACGAAGTTCATCACCAGACACCAATCCAAGATATTGTTTTGTGAGCTTGTGAGCATTGAAGAGGTTGAGTTATTACGTAAGATATGGCCATCCAAGTACAACCACGAAAAGATTTTCACTAGATTGGATCAACCCATTACTCCCATCTGATCCAGTCATCCAACAATATCCGCTTTGGAACTATGACCTCTCTCTCTCACACAGTCCTAGCTGGATTTGAACTAAACTCATTTACAGGCTACACCAGCTAACACTCCAATTTCATGTGCAAGTCAGCATCTCATCTCCTACACTCCGCTTCATGTATATCTGGTGCATGAACCATGGTTTTAAAGACTGGCCCGGAAACAAAATCACTTTGGGCATTGATTCAAACAGTTAGATCATCTGATTTAAATAAAATCGGATTTGATGCTTATACCATTTTTACAATTCTTTTTCAGTCATGTATCGAGAACATCTCCTCACGAATAAAAATATACAAAGAAAGTCCAAAATAACCCGATATATATCATATTGTGGACTTCCCGATACTAATATGAAAATGTTCCCGGTGCAAAGTCGAAAGTGTCTACGAGAATCATAATCTTGTGAGGGCTGGATCTACCCTCGGGCCAAACCCCGATCACATGGTTTTGTATCCAAAACCAAAATCAAAGCCATAATCGATTCCGAATCAACTGGTCCAACTGGAAAATCATACAAGCCACGTATTCACGCCCAAAACACTTGTCACACATGCGGAGTATCTTTGTTGAGAACTCACTGGAACCACATATTTACACGTGTAACTTACAAAGGAAATTTATTATTAAAGAATTAAGTAATTTAATTATCAATAATTTCTTTTTTAGGTAATAATTTTTAATTCGGATTTTCTATTTATGTTGTTTTTGAGGAGTGTGTGAGAATAGGGCAAGGTGCTGCCACCCATCAATTCCATGCAGGGAATGTGCAGAACATGCTGTACATTTCTTCCGGGTTCGCTGTCCCACCGTGTCACATGCCACCCCCTCAAAGGTACACTATCCCTTCCATGTGCTCCCATGTGCGCTCTGCGCAATGCGCACCCCCCCGTTCCCTCGCTCCCCCTCTCTCTTTAAACTCTCTCTCTCTCTTCCAACGAGGCGTTCGCTGGCCATACCACCCTCACATGCGCCCTTTAGCGAGCTTACGGAGGTCACAAGCCCACAAGTCCACAAGCCCAACGCCTAGACCCCTCCTTTTCCACCTTAATGACAATATTACCCTTCAATTGTCAAATTATATCGAAACTGCCATTTTCTTTCGCTCCTCTCTTTTTCATCTGTTATTATTTCCGTATGCTTCTCTGTCTTTTTCACCGTTTCCATATCCAGGTACCAACAAACATTATTTTCAATAAAGCTTGTCTTTCTATTTATAACATGCCCAAAATGCCCCTCAAAAGTGTTTCGCTTGTCGCTGTGGTTTGTCCATTTGTGTTTTCTTAATACTGTTTTTGTACGTGTATCTTCTCATATCACATTCAATGTTCGGCTGGCTGTGGCGTGTGTATTCATTAGATCTTGTCGACCCTAGTTTTAAATATTTTTAAGGCTTGAGTATGCTCTACTAAGCTGTTAATATATATGTATTTCTAATATATACAATTTTTGAGAATTTCTTTTGGTTCTGGAGCTTTGGGTCATCAGACACTGTTGATCTTCTCAACAATTTGATCTGACTGATCCATTTAGAGATCTAAAGATTCTGTGGGACCTATGTCTATGTGGTTTTGTACTCTTGCAAGGGGAGATGTGGATGGATCATTGGTGAGGAAACATGATGAATTTCAGGCCTGGTTTGTCTGTTGTTCATTTTCATTTGCACCGGTGTAAAATCATGGGAGTGTAAATATTTACCTTATTTTGATTGTTTATATTGTAAAAAGTGTTTTCACAGAGGGCGTCCTACAAACACCCCCACAGTATTTATCCCAATTATGTATCGGGGCATCTTCCACTGATAACTACGGGATATGTTTCCAATGCATGTTGAGAATTGCATGTGAGGCGTTTGTGGGGTGCAAATGTGATCTCCTTTTAATATGGTATGATACTACATCTTAAACATGGTGGGTCAGTCTTATGGTGAGATATGCAGTGCCAGATCATATTGGAAGCGTGTCTGAATGTCTGAATGCTTCTTTTGAAGCAGATACCAATTCAACTCTCTACCCACTACACACTGCAATTATAGATCTCACGTTATTGTGATATTTGGCTGTAGTCTAGTGTGGGTAGAGAGTTCTTAGTAGGAAATATAATCCGATGTGTAAAATTAAATAAAAGTGAACCTAATTTTTGAAAGTGTTCTGCTTCCAACATGGTCTGACATGGTATCTCTGATATGGTGGGTTATAGTCTGATGGTGAAATATGCAGCGTTAGATCATGTTGGTAGCGCATTTGAATACTTCTTTTAAGCAGATCCCAATTCAACTCTCTATTCACAATACACGACAACTGCACGTCTCAGAACACAAAGATTGTGATATTTGACTGTAGTGTAGTGTGGGTAGAGAGTTGTTGGTAGGAAATCTGGTGTGTAAAATTAAAAGCAAAAGTGTTCTAACCTGTAATCGCATACATTTGTATAAGCGCAAATAAAATTGAATTGTAAACAAAATATAACATTAATTATGTTTATCTCTCTATACAGAAAAATAAAGTATTAATCAATTATGGAATTAAAGGTTTGTAAGCGTGGGAGAGGGCATTTTGGGAAAAAGGAACGTAAAATCCACAACTCCACATGTGCCGTTGCAGATGGGTCAGGCTTTTGCCAGCCTCTCCCCCGTCCTCGACAATTCTCCCGCTCGCAAGTTGTGCCCCATTCCCACCACCCTTCCCTTTACCTTTTCTAACCAGATACCCGACTCCCGTCCCTTTCGCCATAATATTACAAAGGCACCACCTTAAGGCAAAAATAAATTAATAAATAAATAAAATAATCTTTATACATGGGCCCTACCCTATTTCCCCCCCCCCCTCTGATATTGGGTCCCACATCCCATGCTGTACACGTCATCGCCATGGACCAATCAATTTGTGGGCTCCTCCTTGGCGTGGCATAGTTCCACAACTACTATTGCTACCAAAGGTTTCTTTTGGTTCTTGGTTTATTACTCATCCTCCAATCTTTTGAGACTCGATTCAGCAGGTCTAAGTACTGATTTAACTCGGTCCATGTCCGACGTGTTGTCTTCTATGTATAGACCACAGACAAAGAAATACAGGATCAACACCATGAGAGCTCATGGTTCTCTTGTGTAATGAAATAACACAAGTTCACAGCGAGTTGAATTGGTGAGTGAGAATGTGGCGTGCCTGAGTCAACGAGTTGGCACATCCATTTCCCTCCGTGCTCAACGAGTTGTGACGAATTTCATTTTCCTGCTTTAGCCCTTTATTTTCCCACCAAACTCATGTTCTGAAAAAGAAAAGTTAAAAAAAAAAACGAAATTTGAAAAGGAAGAGAATGGTATTTTCGTGAATTAATAGAAACAGGATGGCAATATTCAAATTATTGGTTACTTAAACCCCAAAACGCTCTCTCTCTAGTCTCAGCCCGTAGGAAGGACAAACTCGACCTCTCTCTCTCTCTCTCTCTCTCTCTCTCTCCCCTCGCCATGAGCTCAAGACCAAGGAGCCTCCTTAGAACCCCGAGAAGGAAGCGAAGCTTGCGAAGACAATCAAGGAGTCGTCTCTGTGGAGCTCGGAAATGCTTGAGAAATGTCGTTAATGGAGGACGAGTACAGATGGGTATTTCGGAGAAATTGGAGACTCTGAAGAATCTGATTCCTGCAAGACAGGGGGAGATGAAAGCCGACCGCTTGTTCAAAGAAACTGCGGAGTACATCGTTTTCCTGAGAGCCCAAGTGCAGATTTTGCAGAGATTGATTGATTTTTATGGGACGGATGAGAAGCAAAAGGTTGTATAGTAACTTCGTCTATGCCAGTAGAAAAAAAAAATGCTCCTTTGTTCTACCTTTGTTTTAGATGTTCCATATAGCTGTATGTTCATGTTTTTTCTGTTAAAAACATGTTTTCTTCCCCTAATTTTGGTCAAGATGAATAGACTAGTTGAGATGAATTAAACCCAGTTGTTCAATGGGTTGATAATTTCTTTCTTTCTTCTCTTCTTTTCAATCTTTTGGGCATTCGCAGGGAGATGGAACGATTGAGTGTGGGTTTTGTTTCTTTGATTCATTCATTCATTTTGATATTTGAGTTGTAGAACTTTAGCTTGAATAAGATGCCAAAGGGAAGCTCTTTCTTTTCTTTCAAACCAAACAATGTGTCGACAGCGCATCTCTTAATGGATGTACGAGTCTTCACTCTTCAGATTTCAGAATCCCTCATACCCACCAAAAAAAAATATTTATTGAAGGTAGTTGCACCAGCCGATACAAAGAGGTTTTCAATGGTTGAAACTTGAAGCATCAGATTGGTATTCTAGACTGATTTAGCCCGTCGATTCCATGGTAGTTGGTAGAGATCAATTCTAAAGTGATCTACTAAGCTAATAATAAAGATTACATATATAAGCTGTTACCTGTTAGGGATAATACTGAATCTCTCTCTCTCTCTAAACCGAGTAGTTCACTTAATGGAATGGAGGGAAGATAAAATGTATATTAGAAGACAAGGGTTTTATGCTGAGATTTTACCCAAAGAAAAAAGAGAAAATGGTTGTGGGAAAGGGTTAATTTTTTTGAAAAGTAAAAGAATATATGTTGTTTGGCAGGAACTTGCTTTATGCAGGAAATGAATTTGCAAAGTAAAAAATAATTCTTTAATATAAATTTCCCAGTCAGCAGGTTTCTGACATGCACTTTTATTTCCAGCTCTTTCTCATTGTTTGGGGGTTACTGTTTGTTGTTTTATCCGTACAAATTTATCCAAAGAACTTGGGACCAATGGTCTGTTTAGTGTGTACTCGTGTTTTTATTGGCGGTAAATAGAGGACTGGAGATTGATTACTAACAGTTGCATTGTTCACTTATGTCCTTTTGATTTGGCAAAAATTATATAATATGACAGCAGTAGCAACCGTAGTAGCTTTTTACGAAGTCAGTAGTACAAGGACGATTAGAAATTTCGAACTGGTACATCCATTAGCTGCTCTGATTAAGTGAATTAAAATTTTATGATTAATTGAGAGATAAATGAATTAGGTGGAAGTAGTAAGAAATTCTTTTAAGCGCCCATAGTTTGAAAATAGGTATTAGGCAGTTCAATGCATGATCCTACACAAAGAATGTTTTCAAGATTTGAACCCTACAATCAAACCGTTGCACTAAGGCCCACCCTCAAAACAGGATTCATGTAAACAACTTCATATAATTGAGACAAAGCTTAGAAGATAATGAATTAATACTTATGGAATGTTTAAGTTTTGATAAGCTAAACTGAATATTTTCCATGGTTTATTTTGACCAGACTTGAAAATTTTTTGAAGATTTGTAATGTTCAGAAGTTAAGAATTTTTAGTTGGAAGTTTTGCTTTTTAACATGTTTTAATATTATTTATTTCAAATATTAAAAATAACAAATGCTTCAGTCCAAGTGAATGAAATAATCAAACTTACCGTTTTATCAACCTAGGTTGAAGGTGCCAATTAGTAGGGGGTTCGGGTAGTTGGGATGTCGGGATGGTTTGGTGTTGGGGTTGCTAGTCAGGAAAGGAATGTGCCCTAGACATAAATTCAAATTTTGCCTTCAACCACTAGCCTTCCTGCTCATGATTTACACAATGAACCATCATCACAATAGATTGTATGTCTATAGAGAATCAGACCTGTCCAATCCTCCACTGAATCAATCATGCCTCCAAAAATCACTTGGGGCATTCATTTTTTGGATTTTGAAAAAAGGGAAAGTTGGTAAATTGCATTGTCAGATATATATTCTTTTTTCATTTTTGTGTGGGGATTAAGGAAAATTTATTTTCCTGTGTATCACATATCCATCTCCTAAGTTCTCAAGAAAAACTGCCAATATTTGGATGGGATAAAAATATATCTTTTAATAATGGATTTTTATGATTAAAATAATTTTATTTACTTGAATAAATAATTTACCGAAAAGTGAATAAGGCCTTAAATTTAATTTGCTGATTTTTAGAAACTTTTTTATCCTTTGATTGCTTTTGAGTTTCTTGTTAAGTATTATCTCTAAATTACCTACATTTGTTGTAGGTAATTTTTTAAATGGATCCAGATAACACTAAGTCCTGATTATCCATTTTGGGCGGCATGATAGCTAATTAAGGAGGAAATCCGATAGACATAATGATGATGACAGCTCTATTTTAGCACTATTCATATATAGTTCCATGCTCGTATACCACATAATCTTTAGTAAAAAAAATCCCAAATATGAGGGTTTCTATAATAATTTTTTGTTAGTAAAAAAGTTTATAGAAGAAAGTTTCATTTTTCTAATAGCTTTGTAGTGAATGTTTGCTATTGCGACTGATTTTGTTTTTCAAAACAAAAAACATCTGGTACGTCAGCAAAAATATATTGATTTTGATGATATGTCAGTCGTTTTGTTTTGAAAATTAAAACCAGCCGAACACCCCTTTAGTCTATGTGTCTCTAACAATCGCTAATTAAGGGAGCTATTTGGTTCGTCATAGATAAGTAACTTTTCTATTGATATCAACTGATTGTAAGTAGAAAAGTAAATAAGTAAATTTAGTTTCCTATCTATATATATAAATACCTTTGTTATGTAAGATAAAGTATGCTAAATAAAAAGGGCTTTTTTTACGCACTGCTCAGGACAATTAAGGAGGATAAATCAGATCATTAGATAAAGCATCCATGATGAAAAATGAAAGTGAGGACCAAGTGAAAGCCCGATTAATAGAGGGAGCATGACCAGAAATCAAGTGAATCACTTTATTAAACAGATGAACAACTTTCATTAACAAATTTATTAAGATACCATGAATCAAAACTATATTAAACAAACTCTAAGTAACTAAGAAGTAAGAACAGATTTTTCTTTGAGAAATGGAAAAGATTCTCTATTGCCAAACCTCTGGCGACGAGTAGTGGTTGAACATATGTAATTAATAATCTACAGTTCTATATTATTTTATTAGCACAACGTACATTTCCAAGTTTCCCATTTTGATGTGTTTTTTGGCTAAAGCTGTTAATTTGGGCGGTGTTCAGCACTGCGTTTATCTCGTGGATGAGACTGTTTCGGTCCTATCCACGGGATGAAGACCTGTTTAACTGGGTGTGGATGGGATTGGTCCACATCACACCCTAATATAGTGTGAACCAGTTCTATCCACACCCCAATATATTGTCAATAGGAAAAAGTTATGGATGCATCCCTTCCATGATTTATTTTTTATCACATACTTCACAAGTTTCTCTGAAATCTTATTGTCTATTTCACATCACCGTTGGAGGTCTTCGCCACCCACCCACCCTGCCCGCTAAAGCTTCTCCGCTGCCGCAACTCTCCACCACCGGTAAGTTTCTTTTATCAATTGTTTAAATATTATTTTTAATATTTTTGTCAATAAAATAATAATTATTTTATTTCATTTTTTAATTTTATAAATTTTTTATGTTTTTATCAATAAAATAATATTTTTAAATATTTAAAATTTATTTTTTAATTATTTTACTATTGTTTTATAAAAAAACTAATATTTATTGGTTAATATTAATTCATTGATACATTTTTCAAAATATTTATCATATAAAATGCAAAAAATTAGATATTTATGATTAACTGTGTATATCATTCATAAAATATATATGAGATACATGGAACTGAAAATCCACACCACGCTATGTGGATTCCACACAATTTGTCCATAGTTCAGAACAGCTGTGGACTGTGGTGTGGTGTGGATTGGTCCTGGCCACACAGTGTGGTGTAGACCAGTCTATACCCACCAATTTCTAATCCACACTATATAATACCCCCTTGGTCAGTGACCCATTGATCTGGGTCGTTGAACTGTACATTCTGATAATAATTATTTGTCGTTTTTTATTTTTTAAATTAAAACGAATCATCCATTTGAGTCAGACAATTTGACTATTTGACCCGGGAACCAGTCCCATAATGATTTCATGTCCAATCCAGTTTTAAAAACCTTGAGTTAAACTCAACATCATGCAAGCCTTATCCCAGCCATATGGGGTCGGTTAAGTTTTTTTTTTTTTTTTTGTTATTCAATTTTATTTAGTATTGTATCCATCGTTAAATTAAATGAAAAGACAAATTAGGATCTATATTCATGAAAGCTGGGAAAAAGCTTAAATACCATTTGTCAAACTAATACAACCATCTTCTTATATTGGGCTTCATTGGGACCATACATTAGATAAGCCCACAGGGGTGGAATTTGCTGAAGTAACTGAACTAAATGACTTATTATTTTGTCTTTTAGCTGATAAAATAACCAACCCAACATACCATCCACCCCTGAAAGAGCTCAATACATTATGACTTAATAAAAAACAGATGAATAAAGCGGTTCAATTGAATTGAACCACTTGAGACGTTATCAATATATAAGCGGCCTGCCCTACTCTCCTACTCTGCCAGTGGCATACATAACACAAATATAAATAACACCGCACCAGTCGGCCACCAAACCACACGGGAAAAGCAGCTCCGAAATTGAATAGAATCCCCCAAAAATTTATCATGCACGTGCATCGGGAAGACACATTCAGTGGCTCTACCCCATCTCCAACCACCTTTTAATGGAGCAAGCAATAACCTGTCGGTTCAAACATGTGAGCTCAAACACCCAGAGAGCGCCGATGACTGATCTAACCAAAACCAACAGAAGACACACACTATCACACTCCTCGCCTCATTCGCGTCTAGCTGTCTGTTTGTACGCTCTGCCTCTTCCGTCCCTTTCACCTTGCAACATACCCCAACATTTGCTTTG